TCCTCATTTCTACGTTAAACTCCTGTCCTGTTCAATAAAATGAAAGTTTACTGAATACGCTTAGATGGACCTGTCGCTGCTGTGCAAGTAGCACAAAGCGCTGCAACCGCAACTATCATAAAAAATACAATGAAAAAGACCGATTATTGAAAGAGTTATTGTTCCGACTTTCGTAAGGAAAGTAACGGACTATTTGTGCTCGGGGTGGGTTTTTTTTTTCTTCAGACAAATTTCGACTTTTTAACTAGCCATTTTTGACGGAGTTTTTTATATCATTCGAAAGCTATTGTTGTCCTGAGCTTAAATTTGAAAAGATATTTCACCTGTGATCATTTTTCGTAAAGTTTTGGGGGTTTAAACATTGCGATTTTGGCCAATTCGGGACAATTAACGCGCGATATAATTCGCGCTATAAACGCGTAAGCGGAAATTTAATCCGTCTTAGAAATTGTTCCAAATTCGTTGAAAGAAGCTTATTTGCCATTATTGATTTGTTAGAAGGAGCGAAATCTATTCTTTTGTACTTTACATGACTTGTGGGGGATAATTTCATAAAAAACTTCAAATTTTAGAAAAAAAAATTTCAATATATTTTATTGCATTTATTTTTTCTATGTTACTACTGCTCCATAAACGTTAAAAGGCAGTCGGAACAATCATGGCTTCGCCCTGATACGAGCAGTCTTGTTAATAATTAGTATCATTTCCCCGGAAAGTTTCAAAATAAAGTGCTGTGGCTGACAGTTTAACAGTCGAATGATCGAAAAGCAGGCTTCAAATTTTAATGTCAGTTGTCTGGCCTGAAGCAAAGGAGTTGCTTATTACTTTAATTTTAAAATATAGTAATTAAAAAATGCTTCATTTTCATGTTTCAGACTTTTTAAATGTTTTAAATTTTCGACGTGTTTTTGGTCCGGCATTTTTAGTTCATGTTTTTTCAGAAAATAAGCTTGAATCGAGGAATTTTGTTCGAACTCTCTAAAAGTCGGAAAAAAATTAGTGCGTACTTGTGCTTTTTTGTGCAGTTTTAGATACCGCATAGAAAAATCGTAGAAGATCAAGTGCTGTATCATATTTAAGCATGCATATGCTTGCGTTCTTCTGCAAGTTCACTTTTCCCCATCCAAGCAGCCCATTTTCTCAATTTTTGTTCTTTGAATTGTAATATATGCTAATAAACCTATCGTAAATAACAATCAATTCTGAGGATAATAATACAGGCGAATTTAAATAAAGCTCGTTCTGTTTTTTTCTAAGACAAATTTCAATGTTTGAAAGCTCGCTTTTAACGTCTTTTAAAATTTGTTTTTTGTCTATTTTCTGAATGTTTTATTTCCATCTGAAAGGAACTATTTTCTTAAGCTGAAAATCAAAAAGATATTCAATCTGCGAGTATTTTTCTTTAATTTTCGTGGTCTTGAAAGTGGCCCAAAAGTTGCAAACGGACACAAAGAATCGGTTTTATTTGAGATTATCTCGGTTAAAAATAAACCTTTTAACGTTGATTGATTAATCACAGTAAAAAATTGAAACGAAAATATCAAGAACAACATGTATCACTGTAAATCGAGAAAAGTTTACCTAAATTTTCCAAACTCATGTTAGGAAAAGATCCTCATTTCTACGTTAAACTCCTGTCCTGTTCAATAAAATGAAAGTTTACTGAATACGCTTAGATGGACCTGTCGCTGCTGTGCAAGTAGCACAAAGCGCTGCAACCGCAACTATCATAAAAAATACAATGAAAAAGACCGATTATTGAAAGAGTTATTGTTCCGACTTTCGTAAGGAAAGTAACGGACTATTTGTGCTCGGGGTGGGTTTTTTTTTTCTTCAGACAAATTTCGACTTTTTAACTAGCCATTTTTGACGGAGTTTTTTATATCATTCGAAAGCTATTGTTGTCCTGAGCTTAAATTTGAAAAGAGATTTCACCTGTGATCCTTTTTTGTAAAGTTATGGGGGTTTAAAGATTGCCATTTTGGCCAATTTGGGACAATCAACGCGCGATATATTAAGCGCTTTTAACGCGTAAGCGGAATTTTAATCCGTCTTAGAAATCGTTCCAAATTGGTTGAAAGAAGCTTATTTGTCATTATTGATTTGCTACAAGGAGCGAAATTTATCCTTTTGTACTTCATATGGCGTGCGGGGAGATGATTTTCTCAAAAAATCTCAAATTTTAGAAAAAAATTTTCATTTTATTTTATTACATTGATTTTTTTAATGTTATTATAGCTCCATCAACCTTAAAAGGCAGTCAAAACATTCAAGGCTTTGCTCTGATGCGAGAAATCTTGTTTTTATTTTCAATTTGAAAAAAATGTCAACCATTAAAGCTTCTAGATAAAAAAATATTGTAATCCATGAGTTAATTAGAGGATTTTTACTCAAATTTAAAATTGAAATTTTATTTTTCGAGAATCGATCTCAATTTTTATGGAACTATTTAATGATAATTACAGTCGGACCGTTCTGTGCTTCTTACACTACGACCGGTCTCAGATGACACAACGACGTAGAAATGGTCTCTACTCACTTTTACTGAATCTTGCTTAGAAAATTTTTCAGAGTTGTTGGCAAATTAGTTGCAAATTTATTTGTTAAGATAATTTTCAGCGCTTTAATTTTAAAGGTGTTTCGTCTTATCAAAGACTGGCTGCTTTTGCTCAGCATTTCTTTGTCATATCGTTTAATGTTGAATCGTGAATGTCTTGCAAAGTTATGTATCATTGCAATTGTTTTTCAAAATTTATTGGAACACAAGAAGAATTATTTGGTTAGGTTCCTTCAAGTTTTTGTTGAGTTTGTTGACTTTGTTATTTTTCCGTTTTTCGATACGAAAGTAACGGAATATTTGTGCTCGGTGTGGGTTTTTTTTTCTTCAGACAAATTTCAACTTTTTAACTAGCCATTTTTGACGGAGTTTTTTTTATATCAGTCGAAAGATATTGTTGTCCTGAGCTTAAATTTGAAAAAATATTTCACCTGTGATCCTTTTCGTAAAGTTATGGTGGTTTAAATATTGCCATTTTGGCCAATTTGGGACAATTAACGCGCGATATATTTCGCACTATTAACGCGTAAGCGAGGTTTAATCCGTCTTAGAAAACAATCCAAAATGGTTCAAGGAAGCTTATATGCCCAAATTGATTTGTAATAGGAGCATAATTTATCACTTAGTACTTATTATGACGTGTGGGGGGCTGATTATTTTTTTTTTTTTAAAAACTTTCAAATTTTAGAAAAAAAAATTCATTTTATTTTATTACATTGAATTTTTTTTGTTATTACCGCTCCATAAAACTTAAAAGGCAGTCGGAACATTCAGGGCTTCGCCCTGATACGAGCAGTCTTGTTCTTCTTACGACGAAGTAAATACTCTTTATAACGTCCTGAAAAACAGTTCTGTGAGCTGAGATTTTGAAGCCATCTCAGCTAGTTTCGTTTAAAAGTATATCTGCGCTTGAACTCATTTGGCTCTAATGGTTTCGAAGTAAAATTATGTTGATATTTACTCTCAGAATTTGACCTCTTTTGAGGCAATTAGTAATTGCACTTCAAATAACAACCGGGTCTGTGTTTGTTTCGTCAATGGGATTTTTGAGATGCCCTGCCTTGTCATTCAAACCAAGTCTACAAGTCTTAAGTGGGCTGGAATCTCCGAATTCCGAGGACAAACAAACTTTGTTTCATGTTATTCTCGAACAAAGTTACAGCTCCAAATTGTCATCATTTCAATTGTGTTTTATATGATTTAATCTTATTGATAATAGAGCTGACTGTTGAAACTTTGATGCTCAGATTTGAAATCAATATTTTCTAAATAATCAATATTTTGACGAAAAATTAAGTTTCTACCTGTCAAAAAATTTCTTTGAATATGCTTCAGCTCATCATTCAAACTATAAACAACATTTTGTAGGAGTAGTCAGTCTATAGTGCGTTGAGTTATTGATCCCTAGTGGAGGAATTGGACGGAAATGCCAACAAAGAACTGGTCGCTAATTCAAACAGTGACATTTCATCTGTCAAATTAGTCTGTTACGGGTCTGCGGATGGGGGGAAAAGAAATTTCAATACGTGACGTCTCAGCCTTGTGACCTCTCATATACTTTTTTCTCAAGACATGTGGACAGAATTGCATCTACATATAGCAGAAGCAGTTCATTATATCAGATTGATTTAATCAGAATCCTCTTCAACTAATTATAGATTACAGACCAGCTCGATTGATGCAAAAGTTTTCCTATTCACTTTGGTCTTAATCTGCTCCCATTTTCGATTTTAGATTTTTTTCCAGTTTGCCATTGAATTAGAATTTGTTTTTCCAACTGCCATATATTGTTTTGATTCACACTTCTATCAATTAAGAGACCCCAAATCACATTGAGCCCCCCTCTGTGAAGACAAAGAGATTAATAACCACCTATTGAGCGTGAATAACTTTCTCAAGGTCTTTTCAAGGCAGAGGTAGTGGGTTAGTGCTGGCAGTTGTGAGGAAATCGAAGCCATTCTTCAAACCTTTGTTCACGTTTGCAACTGAAGTTAACTGGGCTCGACCGGTGGAGATTTTTATAGGGGGATGTTGAATATTTTATCTTTAGCCTTCGTTTAGAATTCCGCCGGTTGTGATTTGTCTTCACTTTTGGTTTTTGGGTCGTTGTACATGTACTAAGGTTATTTAAGGGTAAATTCAGTCCTTCTTAAATTGGGTTACTATTTAATCATTCTATTAGCCATCGCTCACTAATGTCTTATTACACATACACATACGCATTCATAAATATGATAACAGACAGGCCTTCAAATTGATTTAATTTGTTGGTCGTTTTTGAAGACAGCATCAGTTATTATTTGATACGGTTTAGCAGCCTCAAGTACAGTGGTAGTTATTTGATTTCCACATTTGTAGCTAGTGGGTAGTGCAGATTGATTTGAAGACGAAAAAGAAGGTTTGTCTGGAAATATTCCTTCCCCTTTTCGATTAGGGTATTAGTTGTTGTCTCTCTTTTAATTTCCATACACTGAAAACTTGATTTTACGCATTCTGTTCTTACCAACGTAATAAATGCTTTTTCTTCTCAGTTTCTGTTGCGTATTCTTTAACTTCAAAAGAAAAATGGAGCCTCGGGCAATTATGTTTTGAAAATCAGAAAGAAGTGTTGCAGTTATATTGCTTAAGTTGACCCCTTTTTACCTTCTACCAACCAAATCTTGTCAGTATGATAAATTTGCACATCTGACGGCGGCGTTTTTTCACAAAAATAGAACAAACTAAATCCTTGTTTTCAGATTGGCGTTTCTTAGCTTTCTTCATTTTTGAGGTGGTAGTTTTAGTGCCGTTTCGAGAAGCAATGCTGACCGCTGTGCTTTTTCCGACTGTAGACTTATATCCTCCGTTTTTTTCTCGCGTATCAGCTAAAACTGGAGGTTTTGATCTTCTTTTAAGCTCTAGTTGAAAATTCAGTCTGTTTATTTTTCCATTTTTCTGCCGTTTTAAAACGAAAAAAACACTGCAGCTTAATAATAATAATAAACATACACAAATTGAAAAGTTCATTGTTTTTTTTTATTTTGCGAGTATATCGAGTGAGTATAGCTTACCATTACCATTTATGGCATGGAGGAAAACTGAAACGACAATCAAACAAAATTATTTATCCCAACTCTCCCTTCTCAATTAAACGTGTCTCTGCATACCTTTCTACGTTTCAGCTGGCGGGAAAAAGAGCGTGACGTTTTTCCTTCTCATTTTTATAAAATGCAGAAACCATTGGTTGTTTTTACGTACAGAATGGAATATATTGCTGTACCAACATACCAATATATAGCAGATATTTTATTAGCTGACATTTAATGCCCTTTTTTCACCATTTGAATAGATAAAGAAACAGTAGAAAATTACTCTAATTGCTGAAGGCAAACATTTTAGGCTGTTAAAAACGCTAGTTACCGATTATTTCGTGGAACTGACAGAAAAACTATGTTTAGATTGAACAAAATCTGTGCAGAAAAAACCATCGGCGTTCGTGGAAGCGTCTTTTTGTGACCTTTACAGTTGATCGGAGACTGAACTTACTCAAATCTGAAGAAGAAGATGATTAGTCAACGGATTATTGGGTTACCAATTCCATTCACATCCAATCAAGGCGTCATCAGTCGCTTCCTCCCCCCATTTGGGTTGACTCCGCCTCATAACTGAATTATTGGCACTGCAGCGATTCCTCCTCCGTCTCTCAGCTGACAGTGGAATCGACTCTTCCGACCATTTTCGGACTCCCAACATATCATTCTTAAAATGGGTAAGTTTTAAATCAGTCTGGAAGTTTTTTTTCATTACAGCTCTCTTCATTAAGCAAATTTGCACTTGTGTAAATCTTCTACGGCAAATGTAGAGGCGATTTTAGTGGGTTAGAGACGTTTTGCTTACCCTGTATTCTGTCCTCGTTTTGGTCCCCTCTTTTTTACTCGCTGTCTTGATTACGTGAGGGAGATGGATGTCATCTCTTTCGGAGGCGGATAACACTGGGACCCGTCAACCCTGACCAAAGTGGAATTCGAACCAACGACCTTCATGCTAAAGGCAGCGGGTCTTACTCTGTAATGCCCAATTTTATCCCTGATTCACTCCCTGAAATGGCCTAGAGGTTTTTTTTTACAATTTCATCGCTTCCGTTTTTTGACCGACAGATTTAAAAATTACTTAAAGAGACTTGTCCATCAAAACACAATAGTTATGAACAGAGGAGTGGGCGTATCGAAAATCGGTCATTAGGACTCAAATCAGTAGTTTTTCGAAAGAATGATTGCTTACAGCAGAAATGTTTCATTCATGTTACTGCTTCAAAGGTTCCAAAAAAATCAGCTTGATTAACATACGTATTGCTACTCTTGCAATAGACAAGGGAGTTGCAATCAGGTACGAGAACTTTTTTCCCGTTAAGAGTTTTTGCCACAGAGTTTGCACATAAAAACTTTGCTTGTGATTTACTTGGGTAACACTCATGCTTGAGACGAGAAAGGCGGGAGTTCAATTCCAGCAAATAAAAAAAATGGTCTTTTTTAGAATATCGTCTGTCTGTCTACTTTGATCGGCTTGTTTTCCACTGAAATATCTGGCTTGTTTCCCATTTTATTAAAATTTGTCTTTTTTGATGATTCCGAATTCTCCTTGTTGTTACACAAGCAAGCTAGCGAGCGTTGTGTTATATACGAATCCAGATTTATTCAACCGAGGTTGCAAATAAATTTTAGCTCGTCTTGACCTCCGCTCAATAAATGAAACAACCGTTGAAACTGGAGATAACTTGTGTAAGAAAAGCTACAGAGAGCGGCGGATTTTGGATTTTCTTGAAAAATGGGGGGGGGGGCGGATTTTCGAAAAAAAACGTCTAAAAATTTATCGACCTTTTTTTCGGTCGACTAAAATGATTTTCTGATCAAAATTTAGATCAGAAATTTAGATAAAAAACAGGTCAAAAAGGCGTTTTTATCCAGTCTTTGGTAAAGTTTGACCAGAAAATAAGTTTTTTTTGTCAAGGCGCGCTCCGCACTTAAAATAACTAAATATTGGCGCCAAAGACACTTGCAGAAAACTTTTAGATGTCTTAAAGTAGGCCGGCAGGCCTATTTTTTGTTTCAGCTGCTTCGAAGTACTTGTTGCTTTTTTTGTTTCAGCTGCTTCGAAGTACTACCCAAACTGCGCTCCGGACGATTATGCGCCCGACAGACCCCCTCCACCACCCCCTCCCAGAAATCGAAACTCCCAACACTATAAATATACCTCCCGATCGCCACCGGCCCAACAGCACTACCCTGGTAGTCAAGGTTCCTGGTCATCCAATCCTCCCCCCTATATTATACCGAACGACATTCCAAGACGGCCGCCTCCCTCGCCGCCAAAGTACAGCACAAGAGAAGGCACAAAAACTACACACAGACCCGAGCCGGATTCGAACCCCAATCCGGGTCCAAACAGAAGTAACAGAAATGGAGTGGTACCAAATGAGCAGACGAATGGAGTTGCTGCCAATACGGGGTCGGACGCGGAGCCGCCAGTTGACCCTAAAGACAGACTGCATATTCTGCGGAAGCTGGCACTGGCTATGGGTGCGGCCCCTTTGGTGTTCCCCATTGTTACCTCGACCGTCTTCATCAACCTGTTTCTGCTGGAGACTGCCGGCATCACTGCCCGCAACGTGAGTGTGGTGCTGTTCGTCGCCCGTGCTTTCGACGCCATATCAGACCCCATTGTGGGAATACTCGTGAACAAAACACAACAGAAGGGTCAGTTAGTTAATTATGCTTCTAAACTTGTCACTTTTCTCAATTCTATGTTTGCCAATTGACAAATATCAAGTTTCCAAGCACGAAAATGTGAATGAAACTGCTATGAGGATGATCAAAAAGTAGTATGAATGGAACTAAAAAAATATATGACCCATATAAAAAGTATTTATATTGTTTTCATCCTGTTTTGAAAGTAGTTTTGCTAATGGCCGATAAATGGAATGGAATGGCAAACTAGATTTGGGTGTTCCAGTCACTCTGTATGTATGTATGTTTGTATTTATGTATGGCTTTGTATGGCTCATGTATGGGTGTTGTTTAGGACCCAGTCTGAAGCGGTGGATGACAGCTGCTCTGCCCTTCCTCATGGGCTCATACTTCGCACTATGGTTCACTATGGACATCCCTGAATGGTCCAAAGTGCTCTACTACACAGTCATATATATTATACTTCAGGTAGACACACACACACACACATGCAAACAGACATTCAAACAATCGAACAATTATAACTAGAAAAAATTAGGAAGTTCATCTTTTTGTTTCGACTAATTCATAAAAGTGGAAGAAACTATGCTTTAATGTGACTCTTAACCCGCATAACTGCAAGCTAAATGCTGAGTTTTGTCATCGTTTCTGTCCTTGCATGTTGCTTTATCCGAAGCACGACCGAAGAACGATGGTGTTTTATGCCAAAATCAAAGGTGGTCGTATATTTGTGGTCGATTCGTTCGTGTTTTAGCAATCAGATACAATAACCTTCAAAAATGAGCGGGTAACACGATGTGAAGATAGAAGATATGAAGATAGAAGTACATGATAGGAAACAACCATAGGGTTAAAACAAGAGGGACAAAAACAGACTGAAAAATTCAAAGCAACTTTTGGTTTAGAAATTATCTGTCAGGACAGTTTGAATTTAGATTTCACGGTACATTTCAACTCAAAAAACGGTATCCCAACCTGCCCTGAAACACTATTACCCCTCAATCCCAAAAAAATAGAACATTTGGCCTAAAAATATGCAATTTTGTAAATAAACAATGTGTTCTTGACCTTTTAGTTTTTTTTTATCTAAAAGTATGGCAGGAAGTTTTATAAGACCTGTAAATTCCCAGTGTTTTTTCTTGTCGATTCAATGAGAAGCATATGGGTATATTAGCGCTTAAAATAATCTGCAGAACTCACCAAATCTGCGCACTGCTTTGCAGTCATTCATCCATAAAGTATTCTTCGAAATCCCCTGAAGCGTGCAATTCGTTGCAATCAATTCGTTGCATTCTTAATTTACCAAAATCACCTCTGGTTTTAGTGTGCAAACAATATATATATTCTGGCGTAGGAAGACACTACAGGATATGGCGGCTGGTATTTCTTTTCCTCGGAATTTCAGCCCCCATAAATTACTACCAGACAGCATAAAGTATTAACCATTTTGCTCATTTCATTATTGTTCCAACATTCGAGGAAAATTTGTGCTGGTAGCGATTTTTCTCTAGGCTAATTTCTTTTTAAACTAGCTTTGTAGAGTAATTGTTAATGCAGTGTGAAAGATTATACTGCTTTGGGCTGAAAATACAAAAATGCAAACTGTAATTTTTTGCAAATTATAGAGGTTTGAAATTGGTCAATTTGGAATAATCCAAATTTGCGCTGTTAAGCAGTTTTCTGTTAACGCATTGCGCAAGTTGCGCATGGAATTGTTCAAAAATCGTTTCCGCTTGACCCGAAGCTGGCAAGTTGATCCAAGGGACGTGTAAGACGCGCGGCTGCAACTAAGTGTGTAAGGCGCGCGGCATTTAACACGAGGGTCATGGGTTCGATTCTCACTTCGGTCCTTGCCGGATGATTCCTTATGCCATCCGCCTCTTTAAGATGAATACGGCTTCGTCGATGCCATACGGCTTCGTTTGGCTGGGGGTTAAGACAAAAGTACATAGTTTCATGTATTTTAAGTTAAAATCATAACAATTTTGAGCCAAAAAGTTAAAGGGCAGATATTTTGAAATGCGCACAAGCGATTTTGTTACACTTGAGATAATAAGTGTCTCTTAACCGGGAACTAGACTTTTTCCCGTTAACAACTTTTCTTACTAGTTTTCAACTTGCTTTATTATTGAATCTGAATATTTTACAGATTTCGTCGAACTTGCTGTAGAGGTAATGCGGTCGCCTTTGCACCATTAGCTGCCACATCACAGATTTTTCTAGTGCTGTAAGCAAGTGTCATTGTAGGCTCAAGATTTTGTTCAGGGCTGTTTCATGAGGACTTGAGACTTTTCAAAGTTTTTCATTTAATCAATTTTTTTTGGCTCAACTGTTGTCTGCTCAAAGATTTTCGGCTTTATTCAGCTTCCTGAGTTTTGTTCCGTTGCTAAATTACAACTCTATGATCTTGTTTGCTCTTTTGCTTGGAGTTCTTGTTTGATAAAACAGGTAATATGAAAATGTTTTCATTTATGTTTTTTATTTTATTTTTGTTTGAGCTTTGAAAAAATTTTCCACATTTTTCAAAACTTTTTCCTCTCAAGCTAATCAGCCAATTTTGGAAAAAGGGATTCCAATTAAGAAATCGTCTGCTCTTCTGTCTGCCAGTATACTCTTCTTGTCTCTTTTTACTCTACGCCTCTCTCTACAGCCTTCGAAATGTCTATGGGTGGGATTTTTGATCCATTTTTTGAATTTTTGTTCATTTTCTGAAAGACTTTACTATCATTTTTGTGATTTGGTTTTTAACGAATAGAACAAATTTGAGTAATTTACTCATCTCAGTGAGTCTATCATCTATAATCCAGTCATCTAGCCATCTATCTATCTAGCCTTCCATTCAACAATCCTAAGAACGAACCATCCCTCCATCTAGCCATCTATCCATTCATTTAGCTACTCAATCATTCATCCAGCCACCCGTTCAAATATCCAGCCAGCAATACAGGCGTCCGGAAAATAAATTAATTTCAAAAAACTGAAAATGATGTAATAAGCACAGAATTTTCTTGTTCACAGCTACTAAGGCAGTATATGAGTGTAAAAGAACGAAGTGATCAATCTAGCTATTCAAACAACCAGGCATTTATCCATTAAACTACCCAGCCATTCCTCGACGAACCATCCAGTAACCTATCAGTAATCCATGCGTCTAACCATCCATCCAGCTGACATCCAACCATCGACACAGCCATCCATCCATACAGCCATCCATCGATACAGCCATCCATCCATACAGCCATCCATCCATAAATCCATCCATCTTTTCATCTATCCAGCCACGCCCCGATCTTTGTTTCCACTAAATCTGCCGTCCATCCATCTAGCCATCTATTCATCTAGCCATCTTTCATCTAGCCATCCATCCATTTAGCCATCCATCCAACTAGCCATCCTTTCATCTATCCATCTAGCCATCCAACTTTCCAACCATCCACCCATCGTTCTATTGATTCATACATCCATCCATCATTCAATCGAACCATTCATCCATCCTGACATCTAACCAAAGATTTAATACTCTCAATTAGCCAGACATCCATCACTCAGCCATATAGCCATCCAATCATACATCTAGCTATCCGTTCTGCCGTCAATTCATTCATTTGAACTTCTATTTAACCATCCAAAGAACAAGCTATCCCTCAATGATTAGCCATCCATCTAACCAGGGGGTCATCCATCCATTCATCTCGCCATCTTCTAATTTATCCAGCCATCAATCCATGCATAAAGGGATTCATCTATCCAACTAGCCATCCAACCAGCCATTCATCCACCGTTCTATGCATCCATCCATCAATCTAGCCATCCATCTATCTAATGACCAAGAAATCTTTAAGAGCTATCCATCCTTCGTCCAATTAGTCATCTAGATATCCACCTATTCAGCGATCATCCAAAACCCTTAAGTCGTCTAGCCATTTATTCAGCCATTCATCCTGCCTTCCACCCATCCAACCTACTTTGTTATTATTAATGATTAACCCTCTCATTTTCAGGAGCAGGTTTAGTTGCAGTGGGCCAGCTAGTAACTACAGAAGTACATTCATACATTTACATGCATTCATGAATGCACTCAGTTTCATATGCACTTTTGAAGTTTGTTTATTGGTCCTATTTTTATTCCCCTCTCACCTGCAAAATAGCCGGCGCTTAAAAGTGCAAGTGTTGTTTCTTCTGGTTTCAGGAGGAGAACTGGAATATTTTAGTTTCTGTATAAAAACTTTTTTTTTCGGTTTAACTGGCGTCTGCTCAAAAATAGTCGCCTTAGCTGCCACATCATTAATTCTTCTTGTGCTCCCAGCTATTTTTATTGTAGTCACAAATGCAATTGTTGTTCAATCTAGTGGCGGGTGGGACCTTAAAATTAAGGACTTTTTTATAAGCTCGGTTTTTTTCCTGTTCTACTTGTGTCTGATCAAAAATTGCCGTCCTCGTTTCCTCTTCATCAGTTTGCCTAGAATGAGCTTCTATCGAGACACGAAAATTGAATTTTTTGGAGATATGTTTTTGTTTTAACATTTTTTGTTTTGTTTTTTGACTTCTTATGTTTTTTCCGACTTTAGTAACGAATGTTACGGAATATTTGTGCTCGGGTGTTTTTTTTTCTTCAGACAAATTTCGAGTTTTTAACTAGTCATTTTTGACGGATTTTTTTAAAAAAATCATTCGAATTGAATTGTTGTCCTGACCTTAAGTTTGAAGAGATATTTCGCCTGTGATCATTTAAGAAAAGTAATGGGGGTTTAAAGATTGCTATTTTGGGCAATTTGGGACAATTAACGCGTAAGCGGAGATTTAATCTGTCATAGAAATAATTCCGAGTTGGTTGAAAGAAGCTTATTTGCCATAATTGGTATGTTACTAGGAGTAAAATCTATCACTTTCTACTTTATATGGCATGTGGGTGGATGACTTTCACAAAAAATCTCAAATTAAAAAAAATTCATTTATTTTTTTTTATATTTAATTTTTTCATGTTATTGCTGCTCCATAGACCTTAAAAGCAGTCGGAACATTCAGAGCTTCGCCCTGATACGAGCAGTCATGTTTATGTTTGTGTTTTATTTAAAGCTGGTTGCTGAACAATTTTCGCAGAAACAGTAGTCTTGTTTTGCTCCCAGGTGGCATTCACAGTGTACAGTGTGCCCTACTCGGCCCTGATAATGTACCAGACTAACAACAGACAGGAGCGGGACTTGGTGACTGCGTTCCGAATGACGGCCGAGATCCTGTTCGCAGTCTGCTCCGTCGCCATCTTCGGGGGCATCACCACCGGAAGTGACCTTGCGGGAGACGAGGAGAACTGCGAAGCGGAGAAGGCGGAACTCGAGACAAAGTTAGGAAGAAATAAAATTGATTCTATTACTTATAAACAAGAGTTTTTTTGCAATTATTTTTGGATAATTTATCCCTCGTGAAAACAGTAGATCAGCGCTTGCGTAATTATTAAGGTTGTTGCGAGGCAACTAGCACAGTTATAGATTGGTCACAATTTTTATATAAATAATCAATTTTTTCACGTCAAACTGGTTGACAAAGACACAATTAAACTAATCAGTATTGTGTTGAACTACGTGATGTCTAAATTGGGGCTATTGTAAGCATTCTGCAATTTATCAAGCAATGATTTTGGAATGTAGGTATGTCATATCAGCCCTAGTGGTAGTTGGAGTCGTGATGGCGTCGGGCGTGGTCACATTCTTCGGCACCCGAGAGCGAACTGATATCCGAACAGCCTCGGCCAAGACGCCAGTGTGGACAGCCACTAAGCGGGTGATGACTCACAAGCCATATGTGTATTTAATGATGAGCTACTTCTGCATGTACCTCTCAGTGGCCATAGTTCAGGGCAATCTTCAGATATACTTCAAACACAGGTATTGAGTTATAACCGAGTTGGTTAACTCATAGAGTAATTTCGGATAGGGTACACCGTCTGCTCGTCACGCTATCTTATTTTCGGCCGGATAGATTCGTGCAACTTCTTAGTCTAATACCGATCCTAATCTTACTCTTATACTATCTAGTCTCAGGTTGTTTAACTAGTCTCTGCTAGGCTCAATAGATCTAGGGTATACTGGTTTATTGCGGCTGCTGAAGTGCTCGGGAGAGTCCAACTAATTTCTAAGTTAAATTCAAATCTCTCTGGTGCTGAAATTACAAGTAACTTCAGCACTTACAAATAAGTGGGTTGTTAGTTAGATGGATCATGATTGGTTAATATTAAATACTTTACATTGGTAAAACATTTAATTTATCCAATCATAATATGTAGTTTAGATCAGGTTCCACCCATCCGGGTTTTACAGAGTTTTTTAGAATAGTTCTTCTGCAATTCGAAGGATGGATGATGGACGTTTGTTTTTGGCGAACATCATAATTTTCTTCCGTTTCCTCTTTTGTTAGGGAAGTTCCAGGAAGCTGGAGTTTGAGACATAAGACGTTGTGTTCTTCTTGTGACAACGACTAAGTCTTCGCAACAAACTCAAATCTGATTTCAGAATGGTTGGCTATGTCAGGTTTTTCTGTTCTTCGTGGAGAACTTCTTTTGTGTCTGATCTAGCTTGGGAATGGCGTGGAGATTGTGCGTGGAGGGGATGCCTGGTTACTCGGATCTGTACGTATACTTGAACATCGAGGTGGTCATTGGTCTAGTTCAATGAAGTCCTTTTCTGCGAGGTCAAGTCGTACTCTAAATCCTTTGAGTTGTGATTGTGAGCGGCATATCGATTGTAGTTGGTCATTCTCTCTCGAGTGTAGTGGGGTCGTCTTGTCTTTTGATGTTCGTCCTTGGTGTTGTATTCTGATCTATATATTGCATCATGTGATTTTACATTTTATAAAACTTTTATTAGTTTAATATTTTTTAATAATGATTTTAGTTAGTTGTTTTCACAAAAGCTTTTTGTTTTAGTTCGGTTATTTTGAAGAGTTACTCACCCTTGAGTAGCTCTTATTAAAAATAGAGGTGTGGTCACAAAGCGTGGATGTAGCGCGGTGGGTTAGGCCGGCTATAGAGCATGCTCAGGACGTCCTTCCTGGTGGGTTAGGCCAGGAGTGGGAGTATGATTTCATGCGGTTTTTGTGAGGGGTCCTGTTATGTGACAACGTTTTATGTTGGGTTTGTTGTGGTTTTTCTTATGTCTTGTTGGTTATGTCCTTTTTCCAAAAATCAAATTGTTTGTGGTATGGGTTTGTCTTTCGACTTTTTTGTGTTTTATTATTTCTTTCTTAGACTTTATAATAGTCTTCAAAAGAATAAATTATCCAGTTTTAAACTGGGTTAATCCGGTTTGGGTACCGTTGGTTTCCTTTTCTTAGTCATGCTGTTATTCTATGATTTGTGGTATTTAGTAAGCTGCGTTGGTTAGTTTTGTTTAGTATATGATTCCTTTCCAACCGGGTTAAAGGAAGGTTTGAAACATGTTATTATATGTTAGAGTTGTTGAGTGTGAAAACTTGAAACTGAAATTCATTATTTTAAACAATTCTTCGTGGGCGAGCTGTGCGAGTGTGGATAGAATTTCTGTGCGAATGAATGAAAATATCAAAAGGTTAGTACTGCAATTGCATTTTATTAATTTACTGCATAGAATTTGGAAATTTACTGCTAGTTATGGGGGAATTTTAAGTTACAAATTTTCATCATAATTAGATTTACTGCTTGTGGGGAAAATTTTAGAAATGAATTTACTGCATTGGTATTAAATTTATAAATTTATAAGTGTAAGAGATTAATAGAATTGTTGAAGTCTGTTTGATGAAATTTGCGATCTTTATTTGTTTTTTGTGGTTTTTGTAGGTGATCGTCGGATGAAGGCTAAAAATCTAAGGAAAACATGGATAAAGTATGGTGAGTTTTTAATACTGTAATTAGTTAGTAATATTTACTTAATTCATACTTACCTGTTAGTCGTCGGGGAAAAAACCGTGGGGGAAGATGTCGTGAATTAGTTCTGAAGTTGTTAGTAGTTTAGCTAGAATGCGGATGATATTTTTAGTCTGAAGCAGTGGCCAAAGCAATTGAAGTGCCTTAATAGTGGTTAGTTCTTCAGTGCCTACTGCAAACTCATAAGGTGTGTTTTGGATTAAGTTATATAATTTGTGATTAAATTTAGTGTTGTGGATGAATTCTAAAATTGGGATTTCTATAGGTTGTACAAACTCGTGCGGGATAAGAAAGGGTCGGGATTCTTCGGCGTTGAAGGTCTTGGTGATGGGACAGAAGATGTACATTTGGGTTATGGGATCATAATTGCGAAGAATACCATGAAGGTTAGTATCTTTAATGCAATATGTGAAATTTAGGAAAAATGGTGAAGTGTATTTGGAATTAATGAATTGAAAACGATGGTGTGGTTGTCTAGAGGGTGTGTGTAGGTCAAAGTGATTTTGGATGAAGCGATAATAACTATATGTGTGGGTTTGTTTAGTGCGCAACATAATATCGTGTGAGCAGTGTAAATCTCTTTCGTGTGGTGCAAGGAAATGAAAGGTTAGTGAAAATATTTGGAAGCGTTCTTTAAAACTTTCGTATGCTTGTGTGTCTGTTAGTGCTTCTGAAATAATGTGATCAAACTTTCGGTCGAAGATGTTTAGTGTGAATGTATATGGTGTCTTGATGAAAAATTTCTCGGTAATTTGTGGATTAGCGAAGCGATCGTCGTCTAAGAATTGATCTTGGTTAGCTCTGATGATGTTGTGATCATAGTATTCGAGTGTATATTCGTTAGCTCTAGGTGCAGTGTGTGTTTTTAGTGATTTTTTATATCCAACGTAAGTAAATTGTCTAGCGGTTAGTGGTGTAGTGAGTCGATATAGCATGTCCGTATTTCGCTCTATATCGATGTGAGTGTTAGATAAAGGTAAGCAAAGAGGGTTAGTAAAATGATAATATGAGGTCCAAGAGAGAGTGGGCATTAAAACGTATTCATCTACAAAGTTGCGTGTTTCGTTAGTGTCGTGGGGGGTGTTTAAGGTGTATTGTGGGAATGAGGGTAAGGTGATGGCTAAAAATTCTTTTGTGTTAGTATGCTTGGGGTGGTTGATGTATTCACGGGCTGTTCCTGGTTTTGCTGGGAAAGGAGGGTTGGGGAACTTTCTTTTAAAAGTGCGGTAAGCTCTATTAGTGTTGAGTGAAGATTCAGTTGATGTGGATGATGGTGCTAATGATTCAGTATAATTTGAAGACGGTGTAGGGGTAGGGGGGTTGGATGAATTTATTGTGGAGGAGATTTGGTTTATGGTTGGGGTATTAAGGTGGTAGGGTTGTTGTTGAAGGGTAATAAAATTATCTAGCTCTGGGGAGATTCGGGGGGTGTCTGGAGAATGAGATGATTGGTCAGAATGGTATGAGGAGTAGGTTGGGGTAACTTGGGAAGCATAAGAGGGTGTGGGAGTGATTGGGTCAGGGTTATTGGATAATATGGGTTGAAAAGGGGGTTGAGAAAAATTAGAAGAGTTATGAAAATTATTGGATGGGGATGGTTCTGAGTCGGCAAATTCATCGGGGGTTTCAATATTCGGGTTATTGAGTTGTGAGATGGAATATAAAACTGAGATGTGTGAATTAGTGTCGGAATTCATGCCTGATGTTACATTACTAGGTGAAAAGTCGGGTGGCGGAAAAGCAAAAAGTGGTATTATTGGGATTGGAGAGGTAAGATTGGTTGGGTGGGAATTTGATCGGTGTAGTGATCCAAGTTGGCGGCTCATCGTGGGCTAAAAAAATGATTATTTTGAGACTGAAAAGCGGTGGTATGGGGTTGTTCAATAATTTGTTCATAAGTATTATCATCTTGTGACTGGTGTGTCATTATATGTTGGATGGGACTTTGTGATGTATTGAGTCGAAAATTTGGATTATGTGTGATGGCTAAATTTCGAAAATTTCGTGGGACTAGGGATAGTGGATGGTTATTTGGTAGGGGTGGTAATTGTGGTGCCGTTGGCGTTATGTCTACATTGTTATGTTCTTCGTCGTATGTATTTTGTCGTGTTGCTATTTTTGTGTTATATTCTTTTATTTGTGCGTCTAAAAGAATTTTGTTTATAGATGTAGAAAAGATTCCAAAAAATCCTGCAAAGAGTATGCGTGCTACGCTTGCTTGTCTGTTTACTTGTGTGTGTATAGCACACGTGTTGTAGATTCCTTTTAAAAGTGAGAAAAGAAATCCAATAAAGTTAAACATTGCGTATAAAATAGTCAATTTTTCTAAGATGTAGTAGGGCCATCCTAGAAAATCGAGGATCTCATTTTTGAGTGTAACAAAGCTAAAAATGTTAATTGGTGATATATCTTGGGGACGGTATTTTTCACCGTTTAGATATATGTAATCTTTAATGTCTTTAAAATATCCGCTATAGTCTTGCGTGTAGATATCGGCAAATCCTGCGGTTTCTGCAAGTTTGCGTAAGTTTTGGTCTATTGATTGTCTTTGTATAGTGTCCATTTGTGTTAATAATTCTTGGAATTGTTGTGTTCTAATGTGATGTTGAATATCTGATTTTGAATAGATTCCTATTGATTGTAAGTCTATATTTGGGTTTCGAGCAATAGCGCGAATGCTTTCTGGTGAAAATTTTTTGAGTGATTGCATTAATGTGGGATATGGAGTGAGAAGATAATATTTATTTTCATCAGGGTTTAGTTGTACTACATTGTGGCTGTTTTCTGATCCACATGGGACTGCGGTATCCCAGAAATAGGTTCTTCGTGAAAGTGTATCCACGAAATGTACTTTATTCTTATAAAAGATAGGGATTCTTTTATAACATCGTTTATCTTCAAAAACGTATAGTGGTGATACTTTTTTAGTACAAGTATAAAACCATAAGATGTTTCCTTCATAGTCTAAAAAATTTGATCTATTTCCAG